TAATTGGAAAGGCAGAGTTACAGAGAGAGAGGGACACACACACACACACACACACAGAGAGAGAGAGAGAGAGAGAGAGAGAGTATCTTACATTAGCTGTTTCACTCCCCAAATGGCTGCATCAATCTGGGCCAAGCCAGGTTGAAGCCAGGAGCCAGGAGCTTCTCCCAGGTCTCCCACGTGGGTGCAGGGGCCCAAGGCCTTGGGCCATCTTCCGCTGCTTTCCCAGGCCACAGCAGAGAGCTGGATCGGAAATGGAGCAGCCGGGACTCGAATGGGCTCCCATTTGGGATGCCGGCATCACAGGCCACAGCTTAGCCTGCTGTGCCACAGTGTCAGTCTCTCATTTTAATTTATTTGAAAGGCAGAGCAAGAAAGAGATCTTCCATCAACTGGTTCACTCCCAAAATGCCCTCATCAGCCACAGCTGGACTAAGCAGGAGCCCAGAGCTTGATCCTGGTCTCCCGGACCCAAATATTTGTCCGTCATCTGTCTCCCCAGAGTGCACATTAGCAGGTAGCCGCAGCGGAAGCAGAGGAGTTAGACTTGAACTCAGTACTCTGATCTGGCATGCAGGCGTCCACTGTGCCACATGCCCACGTCCAGTAGTGCCTTTGAAGCTCACTGTTGCTAGGGTTGCCAGAAAAAATACAGGGCACCCACTGCAATGCGAGTTTCAGATAAGCTAATAATGTTTTAAGATAAATATGTACCAATTATTGCAAGGGATGTACTTATACCAAAACACTGTTGTTTATCTGAAATTAGAGGTGTGGCATAAAGAAGACTTCTGGGGCTGATGCTGTGGAGTAGCAGGTAAAGCTGCCACCTGCAGCGCTGGCATCCCACATGGGTACCAGTTCATGTCCTGGCTTCTGGTCCAGCTCTCTGCTATGGCCTGGGAAAGCAGTAGAAGATGGCCCAAGTCCTTGGGCCCCTGCACCCGCATGGGAGGCCTGGAATAAGCTCCTGGCTCCTGGCTTCGGATCAGCCCAGCTCCTCCCATTGTGGCCATTTGGGGAGTGAACTAATGGATGGAAAACTCCTCTCTCCCTCTCTCTCTCTCTGCCTCTCTGTAACTCTGCCTTTCAAATAAGTAAGTAAGTAAATAAATAAATCTTAAAAAAAGATGACTTCTATGTAGTAGAAGTAATTTAGATTTCAAAGAGGGAATGATGGCCGGCTCCGCGGCTCACTAGGCTAATCCTCCACCTTGCGGTGCCGGCACACCGGGTTCTAGTCCCGGTCGGGGCACCGGATTCTGTCTCAGTTGCCCCTCTTCCAGGCCAGCTCTCTGCTGTGGCCCGGGAGTGCAGTGGAGGATGGCCCAAGTGCTTGGGCCCTGCACCCCATGGGAGACCAGGATAAGTACCTGGCTCCTGCCATCGGATCAGCGCGGTACGCCGGCCACAGCGCGCTGGCCGCGGCGGCCATTGGAGGGTGAACCAATGGCAAAGGAAGACCTTTCTCTCTGTCTCTCTCTCTCTCTCACTGTCCACTCTGCCTGTCAAAAAAAAAAAAAAAAAAAAGAGGGAATGATAACACTTTTTTACTAGATATATATTTTTAAATTGTGGTAAAACATGCATAATGCAAAATTTATAATTTTAACAAATTTTTAAAAAGATTTATTTATTTGAAAGTCAGAATTACACAGAGAAAAGGAAAGGCAGAGACAGAGAGATCTTCCATTGCTGGTTCACTCCCTAGATGGCTGCAGTGGCAGGAACTGGGTTGATCTGAAGCCAGGAGCCAGGAGCTTCTTCCATGTCTCCCACGTGGGTGCAAGGACCCAAGGACTTGGGCCATCTTCTACCACCTTCCCAGGCCATAGCTGAGAGCTGGACAGGAAGTGGAGCAGCCGGGTCTCGAACCTGCGCCCATATGGGAAGCCCACACTGCAGGCGGCAGCTTAACCCACTAGCCACAGCACTGGCCCCAATTTTAACAAATTTTAAGCGTAGAATTCAGTGGCATTAAGTATACTTACACTGTTGTGTAACTTTTATATAAAAAATTCACAAGTACCTATAAAATGCCCGTGTATTGAAAGCATCCAACAAAAAAATTTGTAGTAAGTATGTCTTATGTGACATTTGGGACATATATATATATATATACAAGGCCACTCCACAAAGTTCATGGAAAAATGAAATTGAAAGCTTATTTTGCTTTAAAATTTATTTTTATTTTATTTGAAAGGCGGACAGGGAGAAAGAGGAGAAAGGAGGAGGAGTGTCTTCCATTCCCTGGCTCACTCCCCAAATGCCCAAAACTTCCATGCCTAGGACAGGCCAGAGTCAGGAACCTGGAACTCAGTCTGGGTCTCCCATGTGGGCGGCAGGGACCCCAGTACTTGAACCATCACCTGCTGCCTCCCAGGGTGCGAATTAGCAGGAAGCTGGATTGCAAGTGGGGCCAGAACTTGAGGCCAGGGCTCCAATACAGATGGGAGCATCCCAGAGGGGTGTCTTAACAGCTATGGCAAACACACACCCTCGAGATAGGTTTTGGTGCAAACAATTTTTGAATTCATAGTTTATACATAATACACATATTCCATAACTTTTAAGAGACCCTTTGTAATATTTCAGAAAGTTCACAGGAAATGTCTACTATGAGCAGTCATTCATATTATGAGAAAACTATGCATGGGTTTCATAATTTCATTCTTTCCATGAACTTTTCAGTACACTCCTACAAAAACGTAGAATTTCAGACTGGGTGTTCTGTGTTTCTATTTGCTACATCTAATGCTCTCAGACGACACACAGTGTCTTCTTCATGTTTCCTCCTGATGTCATTTAAGAAATCTTAAATGTCAGCCACTTGTGAGCCTAAACAGGCTCTGCTGCCCTTCGGAGGTGAACCTGGTCAGTTCATGCGCCTTCAACGCTCCCTCCTAACCACATGTCAACCCTTAGCGACGGTCGGCTACACAGTTAAAAACAGGCTCCGTGCTTTCACGGAGCTTGTCACATAACAGGTTACCTGGTATAAAATACCATGAAGGGGGTGGGCGTTTGGTGCAGGAGTTAAGAGAATGCTTGAGATGCCTGTAGCATATTTCAGACTTATTCATTTACTTGAAAGAGTTAGAGAGAGAAGGAGAGGCAGAGAGAGAGAGAGGTCTTCCAATCACTGGTTCACTCCCCAGTTGGCTGCAATGGCTGGAGCTGCGCCAATCTGAAGCTAGGAGCCAAGAGGTTCTTCCACGTCTCCCACGCTGGTAAGAGCTGGATCAGAAGTGGAGTAGCGGGGACTTGAACCGGCACCCATATGGTTGCAGGCAGCGGCATTATCTGCTTACGCCACAGTGCCAGCCCCAAATGCTTATTTTCATCTACTTGAAAGGCAGATAGATCGAGCAAGAAAGAAAAATAGATGATCAGTCTTCCAGGCTGTTGGCTTACTCTCTGAACACCCACAGAGCCACCCGGGTCCTCCATGTGGGTGCCAGGAACCCAGCATGTGTTGCCTCCCGTGATTTCAGGGTCAGGAAGCGGGGTGGGAAGTGGAGCAGCTAAGACTCAGGTGCACACTGTGACATGGGTTGTTTGTCCCAAGCCACTGTGCCACAGTACCCATCCCCACAAAGGTGACTTCTTCACACGCCTGTGGCGGCAGAATCCTAGAGTGAATGACATATTATAACGATACAATCCATAATCATCTCTTCCTGCAAGCTTCCAGACTATGAAAAGTATTATGAAATTTAGGGACAGACAGAGAATTAAGTATGTAAAAAGACACCGTGGGGGCTGGCGGGTAGGGCCACTGCCTGAGGTGCTGGCATCCCACACGGGCACCAGTTCAAGTCCTGGTTGCTCCTCTTCCAGTCCAGCTCTCTGCTGTGGCCCTGGAGTGCAGTGAAGGATGGCCCAAGTCCTTGGGCCCTGCACCTGCATGGGAGAGCAGGAGGAAGCTCCTGGTTCCTGGCTTTGGATCAGCACAGCTCCAGCCATTGCAGCCATTTGCAGAGTGAACCAGCAGATGGAAGATTTCACTTTCTCTCTGCCTCTGCCTCTGTGTGTAACTCTGCTTTTCCAATAAAATAAAAATAGATCTTAAAAAAAATCTTAAAAAAAGATACTCTGCTATTTGTTGTATATTTAAGGGCTGATTTTGGGAAGAACTTTCTACTGGGGAGAGGGAAATAAGCTTTTCTTCACACTCCTCTTCCCCTCAGCCTCTCCTGAATGATGGATCCAGAAGCTTGGTGGTGGGGGCAGAGGCAGTTTAATTAAAAATCGGAGGTGAGCAGTTTAGCTTGACCCGCAGATTGAGTGGGGTGTTCTGACTTCCTCTTGCCAAGACGGTTTCCTTCTAAGCTGGAATGTCTACCACGCCCACTTGTTCCCACCTCCTCCTCTGTACTTCATCCACAAGGCACCTCTGCTGGCACTGGAGCTCCAAGGGGGGCAGCTCCCAGGACGGGGGGTGGGGCACACTGCTTTCTTCCGGTCACAGGCTTTATCCAGTCCTCTCTGCCTGTGTGCCTCCCCTCAGGGCTGGAAGAGGCCACGTCTCCCCACTGATAAAATATCCCACATGTATTTATGCTGCCCTAAAGACCTGTCCTTCTGCGACCACCCAACGCCCAAGAATAAAGGGAGTGAGGACAGCGCCTGTCCCTTCTCAGGCATCAGAGATGAACTCAGGATTTGCTTCCCCACCCACATGGAAACGAATCTGAGGACACTCAGGAAGGTTCCCAGCTAGCACACACACCGCACCTCACTTTGAGTCACGCGTGGCTAGAGGTCACACGTGGGGTGGGGGAGTCTCTCCAGGGAGAGGTCTGTGTAGCAGCAGCGGGTTCAAGGCAGCCAGGAGGGCGCGGTGCTGCTGCAAACGGTTCCTGCCGGGCCCCACAGGGCAGCCGGTCACAGCACTGGGGTGTCTGGAACAGGCACCAGGCTCCCCACCGTGAACACCCTGGGCAGGCATTGGCAGCGGCACCTTTAGCACACAACAGTTTATTAAGTTCAAGTACAAAGACTGTTTGACTTCAGTGTTTATTACATATAAGACTGTTTTCAGTAGGGTTAAGATAAAAATATAACGAACAAAAGATACATATTTGTTGTACAGAAACATTAAAAACACTGTTGTTTCCTTCTACAACCCAATAAAACGAAACACACACTTGAGTTGCACCTTACACTTCATCCATTTCACGAGTATGTTTTCAGCACCTTCTGTGCACTGTGGTAGGTGCTGGGGACACAGTGATGAGTGAAACCCAGGCCGCGCTCCCACAGAGCTTCTGTTCTAGTGACGACAGACTTCACACTCACACACACGTGTGCACACACACACATACACACCCCTACCCTCAGCAGTCAGGAGCCATAGGGTTGCCAGGGGCACTGGAAGTGGGGCTTTTGCACACCACTAACTTTTCAAAAACAGGAATCTGAGGTTGTCTTAAATGCCACAACTTCTTTTTTGGGGAAAGATACAAACGCTCCAGTAACATTTTAATAGGCTGCAAAGTTCTGGTCAGACTCAGGGTCCCGAGCAGCATGGGTAAGTTTTAATCAGACTCTGCACTACTAAGTTCTTTATGGTCATACTCACGGACTGAGGCCCAGGGTGGGGGGCACCTAGGCATGGGTTTACACACACGCGCACACACACACATGTAATGCTAACATGTATTACACATGAATGTAACATTTCTGACATCTACTGATACAATGTATCCGCTGACACAGTCCTTCACATACATTCATGGACCACATCCGGCATCTCCAAGAACTGTCAGTGCTGTGATTCTGAGGCCGTGTACTGGAGCTCCAAGTGCACGGTGTTTCTAAGAAGAAACTACTGTCCACGAAGACCACTCAGCCAGCTCTCAGCCGAGCCCACGCCCTACAGGGCGACAGGAGGACCACGGCGGAGCGGGTGGAGCCGCCTTCCCACGTCTAGGAGACGAGGGCAGAACAAGCCCCCGTTCTGCACCCGAGCAGGTGCTCCCCAGACGCTCTCAAAATGTGCAGGCCCGCGTTTCTACATCTCGGGGGCCCAGAAGTTTCCTAAGAGTCTGCGTCTCCCCTTCTCCACATCCGACAAAAGTGCTGCTTTCTGGGACCGTGGGTCGGAGGTGGCTTTTCCCCCGTGGAAACGCAAGGCTGGACATGCTGGATGGGATCACTGATTGGGCGCAGCTGGGAAGGTGATGGAGGAGGGGCCAGGACGTGGGTCAGTGTCCTCTTCGAGAGAGGCTCCCTCCCAGACAGCACTCAGGACGCCACGGGCGGTGCAGAGGACGCGCTTTGAAACGAATGCCGCTGGCAAGGAAGGCGAGGATGTGCGTGTTGGCGGCCATCAGAGCGACTCTGGGTCCGTGGGGGTCCCGGGCCCCCTCCGCGGCCTGCTGTGCCGGGAGGACTCGGGAAGTCGGGGCTGCAGTGCCAGGGACATGTCCATGGATGACCCCATTAAAAGCAGCCGCAGGTGTCCTTGGAGAGCAACACGCGCTGTTTGCAATGAGGTTTTTCTTCCTGGATACACTGCCCCCTCCTCACCCTGATACTGAGGGCTCCGCATTTCCTTGCGAGCAGACGGAGTGGAAGGGAAGCCGAGTGCTGCCAGGAGCGGGGAGGAGCCGGCCGGGCCTGCGCACCTGCACAGGGGCCACCCGCCCAGCAGCCGCTCCCACGCACCCTGCACACCCCCGGGCTTCTCTCCTCCGCAATCGCTCTGTCTCGCTCTCTTCCCGCTCTCTGGCGTTTCGGTCCCAAGGCTGCTTGTGCCCCTGTAGCTAACCTGAATCCACTTCCAGATCTTACACTGTAACAACCGCTTCTCTAATCCGACAATCATTTCTCTAGGACTTCCGGGGCTACAGCTTCTGATCAGAAGCTGCCGTTCTAGTGCGTTCCGAATCAGGAGGTCTGAGTGCATAGCTGACGATGACCTGGTTGTAATCCTAAACCCCGTAAGGAAGAGTGTGGTGGGACAGAAGTCGACGTCATCAGGATACAGGGACTGACTTCCCCACGTTAAGGGTCACCTTTCTGGCGACCACTGCTGTGTTTTGGGGTGAGTGACATGTGGAACACAGGGTGATGATGGTATTGATGGCATTAAAACGTCAACATAAATCTCTGTGGGCACACATCCCTCAGTGTTGAAAGACCAAATGTTCTGTCTCAAAACACAAAAACAAGACCGACCTGGGGCGCTGGGGTGAGCAGCAGCGTGCCGGGCACGAGGAGGCGCCCTTAGTCACGGCCGCAGCGAGCCAGGCGGGCGTGAGGGCTCCCTGGAGAGCTGGGCACCTTCTCCCCGAAATCGTCAGAGGCAGGTCCAGCACGTCCCTCCGTGTTCACACGTGCAGAGGAATGCAGAAGGCGGCCCAGATCCCTGCGAGCTGCAGGTCCTGCCGGCACTTGGGACTCGGAGATGCTTTGCTTTCTGCCCAGGAAGCGAGCAGCCTCCCGCGCGGGTCCTGAGAGGCGTGCGGTGCGGGGCTTCCCGGGCGCTCACACAGCGGGCCTGCTTCCAGGCCGCGTCCCCGCTCAGCCACTCTCCTCCTGCACAGAGCCCTCGCTCGTTTTACCTCCACTGCTCTCGTCTTCGTTGGAATAGTGTCCCGAATCGCGACTAGCTTGGGAGTGGTAGGCTCTGAGATCTCCGCCGGTTCCCTTAGCTTCTTCCAGGACAGTCATGCTACGCACGTCTTCGATGATGAAACACCTTTCAGTCCGCTCCTCAGAAGGCGAAAGCAGAAGATTCTTTAATGGCTGTTCTGAGAAATACTAATTTAAAAAGGGGGAAGAAGAGAAAGGCACCGCTGAAAATAGTGGAAATACCGTGTGAGTCTGACAGTTTCGTTTCTTACAGCCATTGTGTAGAAACCCTACTTTTTGGCCTGTAAGTAACAGGTCGGGTAAGGGCATAGCAAACTGTCACCAGCGAGCTCACTTTATCTTATACCTTTCTGGTGTCTATGGAGTATCCGTGGGCAGGGTGCTCTCGGCTAGGCTGGGAGGGGGAAAATACGGGCATGGAGATTTTATTCCGAAAAAAAAAAAAAAAAAAAAAAAAAAAAAAAAGATACCCCCAGAAGAATTTTGTATCCAGAAGCACAAGTGAGGCGCTCATTTTCTCCTGTTCAATTAAGAATAATTGGGTGGCAGTGTGTGGCGAAATGGGTCAAGCTGCCACCCGAATGCCAGCGCCCCTTACGGACACTGGTTCAAGTTGCAGCTGCTCCACTTCCGACCCGGTGCCCTGCTGATGCACCTGGGACGCAGTGAAGATGCCCCATGGGAGAGACCGGACGGAGTTCCAGGCTCGGGGCTCGGACGCGGCCCAGCCCCGGGAGGATGGAATCTCTCTCTCTCTAACTCTGCCTTTCAAATTAATAAATAAATCATTTTTTAAGAAAAATAATTATCAGTTATAATGAGGCAATCTTCAGTCTGTTTTACACAACAGCTACGACTCTCAGGCATGCAGGAAGGGTATCTAAAAGCTCCGAGGAATCTGAGTAGAACAGCTAGCATTCACCGAGCAGGGCGCCGGCTGTTCGTCCCCTGGCTCAGCTCGCAGCCTGTGGGTGCCTGCCCGCGTGCTGTCAGGTGCTGGGCTCACAGCGGCACAGCTGGGCGCGACCGACTGCAGCTTGTTCGCCCTTCACAACGGCTGAGCTCAGAACCCCCGAATGACTGCCTCTCAAGGCGAGTCTGAAGCCTGCCCGGACCCATCCCTGCCTCCACTCAAACCTTCCCATCTGCCTCTGACATTACAGCGCCAGCCTCACACGGGGCTGCCAGACGGGCAGCTGATGGCCGTGAAAGCAAACTGACGGTTCCTTTTCACGCTCTGTGATTTCTCCCACAAAATTCACCTTCTACACCAACAGAACTTTTTTTTTTTGCTCTATGGTGAAGATCCACAGAGATTTTAAATAGTAAACCAAATGTCACAGAAGCCAAACAGCCAGAAAATTATGAGACTAAGGACAGACCTTACTACTCCATGCTATGCATCACATAAGTTAAATAAATATGATAGTTACATTATATATCATATCAGTAAATGAAACTTTATGCACCTATGTACTTGATTTACAGAAACCAAGGGAAACACACATATCAGTTTGTATTTTTTTCTACGTATCAAGACAACGTATATATTCTGTTGAAGTCAAACATACAGCCTGTTCACTTCGCAGCCTGACAAAGGACGGTGACCTACCTCATCAATACTGGAAGGCGGTTTCGGGGATGGAAAGAACACGTAGTTGAGACATCTCAAGAGGCCCTTCACGATGTAGACAGCAACGGGGACAGAAACTACTAAGACGCAAATCCCAGCGACCAGCCAGGTTCTGGAAGTAGCTCCTGAAACACACAGATGGCGTTCAGCATCAGTGCTCGTGGGACACACACAGCGCCCAGTCACAGGAGAGGAAGCACGACACCCTTCAGCGTGCTTCTGGTAGACCGAGGACACAGGACTGCGGGCGGCTGCGGTCCACGTGGAGGTCTGCCTGGAGCCGAGACGGAGCAGGCCAGCGCATCGCAGCACTTCCTTCCACACCACGCGACGGGTGCCGCTGAGAAACCATGCTGCGCCCGAGCCCCCGCCATCAATACCAGAAACTGGAAACAGAGACTGAGCCAGTTCCACACAAGCAAGTTCCCACTTGGGCGGGCTCTGGCCTCCTGGTGAGATGCCTGTAGCCCATCCTGGAGGACCGGGGTTTGCTGCTCCGCTCCAGCCTCCTGAAGACGTGGTCCCTGGGAGGCAGTGAGGACGTCTTCAACAGTCGGGCCTACCACCCACATGGGAAACCCAGACCGGGCTCCCGGCTCCTGGCTCCAATCCTGACTGTTGCAGGCATCTGGAGAGTGAACCAACGGGTGGGAGCTCGCTCTGTCTCCCTCATAAGCAAATCTTAACACTGAAGTCACAATTGAACCAATTAAGTGATTTCCACAGGACACTTGAGGATTATGTGAAAAATGATAAAACTAACAGTCGTACATATGCCAAGGAGCAATAATCAAAGAATTAGGTAGATACTGGTTAAAAAAAACCACTGGACATTAAAAATATTTTCTAAAATGGAAACACATGGCTTGAAAGCCTATTTTTGACTCATATGGTTCATGAAGAAACAGTTTACTTTTTGCAGAAGGAACCGTTTTACAATTTTTAATATACTGATTTATTTTGAGTCATTACTTTATATATATATTTTTAAAAAAGATAAAGATTCCGACCTGGTTTTGTTTTCTCACAGACAACGTCACTGAAATCACTGCTTTGATTCCACTTTTCACCCAAAAGGTGCGCTCTGGCCTTGAAGCAATACACAGTCAGCGGTTTCAAGTTGGGAAAAGTAAAATCAGTTTGTTCCTGTAGAATTCTGCTCTGTAAAAAATAAATCATTGATAAAATGAAATCAAAGAATATCTATAAGTATTTTCTGAATTATGTTATACTCATTCTAAGATTGGTCTCTCCCAAACACTTACTTGGTATGTGTTTAGGAGATACAAACTAGTTTTGCACAACCCATTATAACCAAATCATATAAAGTTACCAGTGATGTTTGTTGTCAGAAAGGGTATGACATATTAAGACAACTCTGTCTTTTAAACACAGGCTGGCTTGGTTTAACTGTAGTTGTATTATCTCTCACTAGTGACGAAACAGGTAAAAGCAGGGGTTTGGACCTCAAACCAACTGCCAGTCTCCAGAAAAATGGGCTGAAAAGGTAAGTTTATTTTAGTTCAAAACAATTTCGAGATCCATGCAGAGCTTTTTCATAATATGCATTTCAATGAATTTCTGAAGACCCCTCGCATTAACATATCACTACCTTACAGCCATGTGGCTTTGCTCAAATGACTTAATTTCTCAGTGCCTCATTTCCTGATCTACAGAATGCCTCTATCTGTACGGATCAGCCACTGCCAGAGTGTAGGGCGGCAGAGCTATCTCGACAGTTGGTAGCTCAAGTAGAACGACCTGTTTCCTCACCCCCAAGTCTATGGGCTCCCTGACCAGAGACCACGGGGCAGGTGCCTTCCTCCTGCTGACAGGGGAGCACGGGAGCCAAGCCAGCACCTGAGGCCAGCACTGGTGCGGCAGGGGGGACAGTCCACCCCGAGTACTTGCTGAACAGCCACTCAGTCCCTCCTACTACCGGGCAGGGTGTTCTGGAAAGCGATTCAAATGAGACACTTACATAATACCTGAGGAACTCTCAGAAGGTGAGTCCTATAATAATCAGAGCTACATATTACAATGATTAGTGAGGCAGATGATTACTATAACAACCACAGCTTTATATAATAATTATGGATGGATTACCTAGCATAGGATAACACGGCAACTAAAATGTATTCGATCTATTTGTCAAGCAATGTGCTAAATAAATATTAAGTACATAAATCTTACACATAGCCCTCTGAAGAATTTAGCTGCTGCAATGACCACTTTAGACAAGAGGAAGCCTGACTGGGGCTCCAGGACTTGTCCGCGTGAGGTCACAGGTTGAGGTGGGTGAGATTCAGCAACAACTGAACCCGACCGTCATTCTCAGTGGCTCCATTATGCTGTGGGTCCTGTGCAGTCAGCAATCACAGGAGGCAGCCCAGCCACTAGAATTCGCTTGTATTTCCAACGCAAAACAGAATCAATCAGACTTTACCGCGAGGCGACTCCCGATCGCTGTGGGGCAGGCGTGGTCCCAGGAGTTGCGTGGGGCATCTGATGTTGGGGATTATCCCTGTCTACGGTTTATGAATTCACTGTTTCTCACCTCTTTTTTCACTGCTACCCCATGACAGAGACTTTTGGGACGGTTCTCCCCTCATCTCTGTCCTGCTTTGAGTCCGATCTTGCTGGGCAAAGCTGAACTTTGGAGGCAGCCCTGTGCAGCTGGGTGAAGAGCTTTTCTGCCCCATAAGCGCCCGGTGCTGTGCCCTGGAGGTACCGCCAGAGGACATCGGAGATGTCGCCTGGAGATGTTGGAACTGGGAGCGGGCGCAGGGCGCGGGCCGCAGGTGCTGCTGGGTGCCCTACAATCCTCCAACAGCCTCGCCAGGAGGAGCCGTCTGTCCCCAGATCTCAGCGGTGACGGGAAACCTGGTTTCGATGGAACACCTGGGAATCGCGCTGGAAAAGTGCAGCTCCCTGAGCCCCACCCTCAGCGACTCTGACTCAGTGGAGCTGGGCTCCGGTGGGGCCCGGATGGCGGTGACCGGTGAGCACGCGAGACGGGGGAGAGGCTAATACTCTTCTCCTGGTGGACACCTGAGCTCATCATGCAGCATTCACGTCTAGAGATGTCTCCCAAATCGTAAGCTGAAGTTTTGCTTGCCCACGTCATATTACAGCTCCAAGTTACAAAATCACGTCTACAGTCATTTTACCTCGGCACTCGAGGTGTTCTCCCAAAAACGGATTTCATATATGAGCGGCCGGTGCAGGTCCACAGGCTCCCGGGAGGCTCCCACGTAGGCGTGCAGCGCGTGGCTTGTGGTCTTCACGTTAAGGACCGGAGGGAGGATGACAGCTGCAGGCCAAGACATAGGAACGGTCAGGGAACAGGGGTAGGAACCCGGCCCGAGTCAGAGGAGGCACACGGTCACCCTTACTTTGCGCTTCACTCCTGAACTCTTTCTCTTCAGACCAGAGGGATGTGCTATTCCCGTCAGACGCTTGTACACGGAGGAAGTACACTCTGTCCGGGAAGACTCTCTGCGGAAAGACACACTGGGTGGTTCTGACGTGGACGCAGCCGGGTATTTGCTTCCATTTATTGGAATGGTCCTCAGGGAACTGTTTTAGATAGCCACTTTGAAGAAAAAAAATTTTTTTAATTCGAAGAATATTTATTGAGTAAACAATGCGCCAGACACTCTGTTAGGAGCTCAGGTGAGAGACCCCCTCACAGCACAGCGGGAGAGACAAACACAAGACACAAAAGACGACCGAAGGTTGCTCCAGAGCGAGATACAGCACAACCACCGTCGAGTGTGCAGAAACAGCTGTCCAGCCTCCAGGAGCGGCACAAGCTGGCTTTCCAACACAGCCGATATTAATAATTCAAATCATAAACACAAATAAAGTCGCACTAAAGACAAAGGTAATGGCTACTCAAACCTAATCATTTTACGCTCCGCGCCCTTAAGAGAGGCGCGGCTGCCTTCCCTGCAGGGTGAGGCTATACTACAGGTCGTATACAGTGCTGGGCGCAGCTGCCCAACTCCATGTCGGGGACACGATGCTGGCCACTCGAAGGCGGCAAGACCCGGATCGTAGAAGTCGGTGGACACCACCAACGGCTGATAAACGCGGGCCAGCTCACCAAAGGGTCAGTGTGGTGACGGACACACCACCACGCTGCCACAGGATGCACCACTGAGAGTGGGCGGGCGGAGCTGCCTGCTCGGAACCACACCCCCCGGCTGATTCCTCGTCTCAGCGTCACTGTCGGTGTCAGGGCTCCACACACAATGCAGCCATATACCCCTTCCGCAAACACAGACCCCAGGGTCTGTGTCGCCTGTGTCGCCCAGGCACAGAGTGCCCAGTGGTTCTCAGACGCCCACAGGACAGTTGGAGGCTCGCAATCTCCCCCTGCCTTGCTGACCAACTTTCTTCCTCGTCGCTCGCCTGTGCCCAGGCGCTCTGCTACTCCGGGTCACCCTCGGCACAGCAGCAGGCAAAATCACAACTCTAAGATGGCCTCAAGACTCCTGTCCCTGTTTCGGAGAGACTCGCACGAGACTGGAGTCCTCCTGAGCCCTGCCTGGACTCTGGACTCACAGAAACTTCGAGACAGTGAACAGCCGTGGTTTTTTTTTTTTTTTTTTTTTGTCTTTTAAAATATTTATTTATTTATTTGCAAGGCAGAGTATTAAAGAGAGAAGAGAGGGAAGAGAGAGGGGAGAGAGAGAGAGAGAGAGAGAGAGAGAGAGATCTTCCGTCTGCTCTGGTTCACTCCCCAAATGGTGGCAAAGGCCAGGTTGAGCCAGGCGGAAGCCAGGAGCCTGGAACTCCATCTGGGTCTCCCACAGGGGTGGCCGGGGCACAAGCACTTGGACCATTTGCTGCTGCTTTCTCAGGCTCATTAGCAGGGAGCTGGGTGGGAAGCGGAGCAGTTGGGACTGCTCATATGGGATGCTGGTGCCACAGGCTGTGGCATGCAACAATGCCAGCCCCTAAATCTTTTTTTTTTTTTTTTTTTTTTTTAAGATGCTAAGTCTGTGGTGCTCCCTCCCTGACCGAAGTCCCTCCATGGCCCCCGTTTCCCTCACGCTGTCGCCTCCTTCCAGGATGCCTCCTCTTGTCCCCCTACAAAGTCCGAATCACGCCTTCCTACAGACCTCAGCTCTCTCCAGAGGGCTCCGGGGGTTTCTCCAGGCCCCGTGAGCTTTTGCCTTTTTGACTTTCTGCAACCCTTTCAATGTGAATTCCACTCTTCGGTCCTAAACCACAGTGTGCGCAGCGCCAGCACGTTGCTCTGGTTTCTAGAAGCTTGGGTTCTACCACCACACCACACCGCCGCCCCCACCCCAACCGTGGGTTTTATTCTGCTGCATCTTTAAATATGGAATGTCAGGTACCCACAAGAAACCAGACGAGTCATTAGAAATACCTATCTTTCTCTAGTCTGTGTGCCCGTTGTTTAACATCGTTCTGAAAGTGCAGTATTACGAAAGATTACGGGACAGTTCCTGACCAGTGTGTGAGCTTGTAGAAGGAGCACGTGTACATGCGAATGCTTTTCCTTCCACACGCCATCCTTGGCTCAAAACCAAAACTGATCACAGCCGCCCTGGCTTCTCCTTCATCTTTTTTTATTTAAAAAAGATTTATTTATTCATGATTTTTGAAAGGCAGAGTGGCAGAGAGAGAGAGAGAGAAGGAGGGACAGAGGCCTTCCATCCACTGGCTCACTTTCCAAATGGCTGTAGGAGCCAGGACCAGGCCGGGCTGGTCTCCCACATGGGTGGCAGGGGCTCAAGCACTTGGCCTGCCACCTGCCGCCTTCCCAGATGGGTCAGCAGGAAGCTGGATCTGAAGCAGAGCAGCAGGGCTTCAAACTGGTGCTGCGATATGGGACGGCAGCACCGTCAGGCCGCGGCTTCACCAGCTCACCACAGCCGGCCCCTGCCCTCACCTTCTCCGCCTCCTTCCCTGCCTCCGCTGTTTCCTTTGGCCCCTTCACCCCTCTGCCCTCAATATGCACCCGCCTTTCCTCCTCTTTCCCCCACAGCCCACTTTTCCTGCCACTTGATTTCCCTCTACTCTTCTGCCTCTCAGCTTATCCTCTACAATTCCCAGTCAATACGAACATGAATTACATGGGATTCTCTTCCACATACGAGGCGCCTGGACTACAGCAGTATCTGGCTAGTCTCTACTCAACCACACAGAATACAGTTCTCTCCAACTTTTTAAATTTCCCACTAAAGCAATCACTTAAAAATTGGTCAAAACCATTAAAACAACAAGGAAAGCAGGAACATTCATTTTTTCCACTGAACAAGTCAGAATGACTGGAATGAGGTCATTTCAAGGACTCAAGGAAGGCTGAAGACAAGACCAGCGTCAAGCATTCCAGACTCGGGCGCCACACATGCAGCTAGAGCCACACTTCTTCGAAGCAAGAGCCAGGAAGAACCTCTTATCTTACAACACACTCACTGTCCGATAAATGAAGGAACCAAGGCCCACAAAGGGGCCAGTTCATGTGTCCAGCTAGTTACTGGCAGAGTTGGGTCTAGAGTTAAATGTCCAAGTTTCCAGTACAAAATGCCCAACTCTCGGTCACCCTGTGTGCAGCGAGTTGCAGGCGGCTGCAGCAGAGTGAAAGAATAATCAAGACAAACAGGGCAAGAGGAAATTCATGAAGGCGAACTTACTAGAGCCACTGAGCTTGAAACGTCACGTTTGCAAACGCGTAATCCCATTTAAGAACATAGTTCTGATTGGCAGCATCAACTTCTATATTTTCCGGTGGGGGCAGTTTATTTTCAGCTAGAAGTCAAAAGAATGTGTTCAAAAAGTATACACTGTTACCCTTGTGAGATGGTATATGGTAACAATTCTACAGTAGGGGATGCTATATGGCAACCATTCCTAACTGCGCCGGCAAGAAGGTTAAAGGCAAGTGTACACTTAATCACTATGGTAACCATGTTCACACAGTGTAATGCGAAGGAGCTCCATGGGTACTGATTCAGAAATATACCCTCGACAGACTGGATTAAACAAACAAGTCATAAGTATATCTAGCAGGATCCTCTTTTTTTAATTTAAACACCAAAATTCTGTGTGTCTGTGTATGTTTATATAAGCCCTGGGAAAAAAGTATGAAAGCTGATATACAAACTGCTAGCAATGTTTACTTCTGTCTGCTGAAGAGAAGTGGAGAAGAAACTGCATTTTAAAGCCTCTGTATATTCGATTTTTAAAGTAAAACACTGAACTCACAGTTAACATAATAAATCCCATTCCTACTCCTGGCCTTAATTACTGGAAAGTGGGCACTGACATCATGATGCTTGCATATTTTAACACCGCACTTATAAAGGCAAGCTCTCTGGAAGACGCTCCATTCTACGAGCAAGTATCTCCCCCCTTTGTGGGTCCTGTACAAATAAAACCAACTTCTGCCATTACAAAACCTCGGACCTTTAAGTAGAATTAACTTTCACTGCTATTTATTTGAGACCAAAAAAAAACTCATAACTTTTTTGCTTATGTAAATGATAAATAATTACCTTGTTTTAATATCTGTTAACCCATCATATACATTTCAGCAATTAGGAGGAAAATGCCAAAACTCCAATACGGCCCCTGTAACACGCACAGTCATGAACCTGACCCGAGGCCCCTCCTCACCTGTGGTATTTACACAGTGCACGGCACTGTAGACGCCGACCTTCTTCTGCAGAGGGAGTTCCGCTCTGACTTTCAGACAGTAAGTAGTCTCCGGCGAGAGCTTATAAATCATATCTCTGGGATAAACTGTTTCTGTCCTTTCCTAGAATTAAAAAAAGAGAAGTCCAATGTCAGAGGTAAATTACCTCATTTTCCTTTCATACCAACAAAGGTGAAGATAATGCTTACTTCTGTCCTTGCAGAGTTTTCCCAGATAACTACGCTGTATATAAACCTTGATCTATCCATGGACCACATCTGTTTTCCAGGAGGAGAAATGTTTATTTTGACTGCTTTATCTTCAGCTTCCAAGTGCACTTCTGGAGGACCAATTTGAGCTGTAAAAGTGCACACAATTCCAGTGTAACTCTGTTACTGCAATGCCGACACATCCGCTCAACAAGTACATCTGAGTGCTTCCTAAGTGCCCGGCCTAATCAAACAGAACAATGCTCAGGAAGCTGACCAAAAGCCAGCCCCCACCCTCACACAGATACATACAATCACGTGTGCTGTCAAGAAAAATGCAGACCTCTGTGGGAACGCACTCACCATTGTTAAGAGATAATGTAAAAAGAGAGGCAGGCAGGCAGGCGGGCAGTAACAGGATGGGAACGGCTGGGAGTGGCTGGAAACGGGAGCAGAGGTGCAGCTGAGACCTGCTGGCGGGAGGAACTCTGCAGCTACAGCAGAGCCTGGCAAGTCGCTGCAGGGGGGCCCAGAGGAGAGCCAGGGTACGGCTTACACTGTGGAAGCATCTCCCTGGCAAACGCAGGAGGAAGCACGAACACGGAAAAAAACAAGTGAAAGATGGGAGTGGCTTGGTGTGAGGTTGGTAGCGGAGTGCCTGAGAAAGAATCAGATACTCTGAAAGGGAAATGGACAGAATTTGACGGGAGACAGGACGTAGGACGCAGAAGAAGAGGTGGCCTGACCGAAAAACCAAGCAGTGTCCGTACTGAGCCCAAAACAATTGCAGGAAGAGCAGGACTAAAGGAGGAAAATCAAAAGCTTTATCTGATCTTTCAAAATCTGGAATGAGTTTTATCAGCTAAGCTGAGATGTGGAAGGGAAATAGTGATGTATGTCTATAGTTCAGGGGCCGGAACTAGGGTTTTTAGGGTCAAGGGCAAAGTGATGGCTGGGAAAGGCTCAAGACCACCAGAGGAGTGGGAACAGAGTTCCAACATCTAAAAGTTTGGGAGGTGAGGAGAAACTGCATGGAAGCAACTGAAGAACAGGGAAAGAACCAGGAGACGCAGGGCCTTCGGGACACGGGGCAGGAAGTGCTTCCACCAGTCGGAGCCAGAGGCAGGCAGGCTGGGGAGTCCCGGGGCACAGAGACGCTGACCCCGAGAAGAGCAGTTCTACCGCAGGGATGAGGAATGAAGCTGGGGAGGGCAGAGGAGGAAACGGGTGGGGTGGGGGAGCAGCACAGGAAGGGAGAATTCTTTTCTGAATCTTGGTAAAAGTTCAGTGCTTCTCAAACTTTTTAGTCTCAGAATCCCATTATGCTTTTTTTTTAAAAAAATTTGTTTATTTGAAAGATACAGTTAGTGAGTAGGAAGGGAGGAAAAGAGGGGGAAAAAAAGAGAGGGAGAGAAAAGGAGAGAGGTAGAGGGGGAGGGAGACACAGACACTCACACCAAGACACACACTCACACACACAAAGGAGAGAGAGAGATTCATCTTCCACCTGCTGGTTCACTTTTTTTTTTTTTTTTTGGACAGGCAGAGTTAGACAGTGAGAGAGAGAGAGAGACAGAGAGAAAGGTCTTCCTTCTGTTGGTTCACCCCCCAGATGGCTGCTACGGCCGGCGCACTGCGCTGATCAGATGGCAGGAGCCAGGTGCTTCTCCTGGTCTCCCATGGGGTGCAGGGCCCAAGCACTTGGGCCATCCTCCACTGCACTCCCTGGCCACAGCAGAGAGCTGGCCTGGAAGAGGGGCAACCGGGACAGAATCCGGCGCCCCGACCAGGACTAGCACCCGGTGTGCCAGCACCGCAGGCGGAGGATTAGCCTAGTGAGCCGCGGCGCCGGCCTGGTTCACTTTTCAAATGGCTACAACAGCCACGTCTGGGTAAGGCTGAAGCCAAGAACCAAGAATTCCATCCAGTGCTCCCATGTGGGTGACAGGGGCCCAAGCACTTGGGTCACCTTCTGTTGCCTTCTCAGGACATTAGCAGGGAGCTGCATCTGAAGCAGAGCAGCCAGGCCTCGAACCGGCACACAGAGAGGATGCCGGGCTTTGCAGGCAATGGATTGACCCACTGCTCCATGTGCCAGTCTCCGCTTCACACTTTAAAAAAATTACTGAGGCTCCCAAAGAACTTTTGTTCACATGGGTGTGTTTTCTGATATTTAGCATGTTAAACATTAAAATTCAGAATATTTATGAATTCATTAAAAATACCAATGATAAACCCATTACAACACAGCAAACGTTTGTTATTGAAAATGTAGTTTCCAAAGCAACAAAAAATCTAGTGAGACAAGTGGTACTGTTTTGTATTTTTTAAAAATCTATTTGGGGGGGTGGTGCTGTGGCATAGCGGGTAAAGCCTCTGTCTGCAGTGCCGGCATCCCACATGCATGCCAGTTCAATTCCCGGCTGTTCCACTTCCAATCCAGTTCTCTGCTATGGCCTGGGAAGACAGCATAAGATCAGGCAAGTCTTGGGCCCCTGCACCTGCGTGGGAGACCTGGAAGAAGCTCCTGATTCCTGGTTTTGGATCAGCCTAACTCTGACTGTTGTGGCCATTTGGGGAGTGAAACAGTGGATGGAAGATTTCTCTCTCTCTCTCTCTCTCTCTCTCTCTGTCTCTCTGTAACCCTGCCTTTCAATCAACTGCCCATCACACATTAAACAGCCACCTTTCAACAACACCACTGCAGATGCAAGAGGGAATAAAACAACTATTAAAATAATCATGGAAACACTTTTGACACCCTGAAAGGGTCTTGGGGACCATGCTTTGAGAACCACTACTATAGAGAAGGCATCTAAATGGCACCACAGCTGGAGGGAGCTACAGATTTAAGGAAATCTTTGCTCATGTATTATGCGATGAACAGGCTTAGAAGGGGAATTGGTCCGGCGACAGTCACTAAAGAATATCATGTAATTCAGCCAGCAATTTTTTCTTACCTTTTAGAAATGGTATAAATGAGTCAACAATATACCACGCAGAAGTGCTGTTTCCTCTTTCTGCTCTTATCCGCAACGTAATTTCATCAAGAACATTTAACTTGAGAAAAGAAAAGGTGCATTCGGTATCAGCAACATACTGACACCCAGGTAACTGTATCCAGTTATTCATCTCAGACCTTTAATGTGAAAAAGGCAAATAACTGCATGAGCAAATGTATAAATGCACGACTGTCAAAGAAATTTATTTTCTAATATAAAGCTCATTTAAGCAGTTACCTCTTCTACTTGAGCTAATGTCCTGCTAACACTTAGTTTACATGCTTCCATACTCTTTCAGTTATTCGTAAAATGGAATGATTCAGACACACAGTATCCCTACCCCCTCAAAATTCATTATTTATTTGAAACGAAGAGCTATGAAGAGAGAAAGATCTTCCATCTGCTGGCTACTAGGGCCAGGCCAAAGCCAGGAGCCAGGAACCAGGAGCTTCATCCAGATCTCCCATGTGGATGGCAGGGGCCCAAGCACGTGGGCCATTTTCCACTGCTTTCCTAGGCCATTAGCAGTGAGCTGGACTGGAAGTGGAGCAGGTGGGACTGGACCTGGTGCCCACATGGGATGCAGTGTCACAGGCCACAGCTTAACCCACTACACTACAATGGCAGCCCCACAGAGTTAAGTTTTTAATATAGCTCTGCCAATAATTTTGTAGATGGCTCCAAGAGAATTTCAAAGAAGCAGATGACCCATAAGGCAAAGGTAACTTTAGCGTTGGCTTTGTTAAAATAGTTGTGTGACTTCCAGCAAACTGTTTTTGTGTTTCTGGGGCTTGCCTTCCTTACTGAAATTCTGAATACTGTAGCTGATGATCCCCTTTTGACCTCCTCCTGGAAAAGCCCACCTGTCCTAACCAACCTCAGATTTACAGTGGTCTCAGGGTTTCCAAACCAAACCACCCCAGCTGCTTCCCGGGCTCTGTGATTCCGTCACTCACACCACCAGAAAAAACGAACCGAAACTGAAAATCATAATACATTCCTCAATGTGGAAATGGTTAAATCAAAAAAGTCTAAGTGGCTGATATCAGATTCCTCTTTTTTGAAAAGGGGTAAGCAGATGAGAATTCAAGGCTGGCGCGGAACATTCAAGCAGGCAGCACCTGAGGAGAAGCGGAGGTCTGAGCCAGGGACAGGGGACAGAACTGCGTCTTGCAGATTTCAACTTGTCTGGGTTAAGCCCACCGACCTTAAGCCAGCCACAGACGCCATCCTCTAAGAAGGGCTTTTTTTCTTTAAATCTAGTTCTATCACTAGCTGCATTAAAACAAATATTGTTAAGCACTAGAAGCCAGGGACAAGATCTAAATAAACTTTGTGCCGATCCAAGTCTACAATATCTTTCAAAAAGGAAACATTAAAAAATATTACTATGTTGGGGCCGGCACCATGGCGCACTAGGTTAATCCTCCGCCTGTGGCGCCAGCATCCCATATGGGCGCCAGGTTCTAGTCCCCGTTGCTCCTCTTCCAGTCCAGCTCTCTGCTGTGGCCTGGGAGGGCAGTGGAGGATGGCCCAAGTGCTTGAGCCCTGCACCTGCATCGGAGACCAGGAGGAAGCACCTGGCTCCTGGCTCTGGAGCGCCGGCCATAGCAGCCACTTGGGGAGTGAGCCAACGGAAGGAAGACCTTTCTCTCTGTCTCACTGTCTGTAACTGTACCTGTCAAATAAAAAAAAAAAAAGAAAACAAGTATTACTATAAATAGACATAGCACATGGAATACTTCATTCCTGGTCAGTTTCCCCTGCTCTTTACCTGCCTGAGGTCTAAGATTCTACCTGGCACTGAAAATACTTTAACTTCCTCCCTTTCCCTCTAGTTTCTTAAAAAAAAAAAACAAAACAAACAAACAAAAAAAACCCCTAACTCTGATCATGGACAATAATTAAGATCAGAACAAGATATACTTTGAAATACAATGTAGTATTCATTTTGTAAAACCAGTTTTATATGATGAGCTCATGTCATTTAAGCACTCGGAGGAGGGTCAGGCGTGACAGGACTCACCAATGGTCAATGGTTGAATGGGAGAGTGAATGCTACTTAGGTGTGATGATAGCTCTTAGATACAAGTTATAAACACTCATGTTTTACATGGCCTATGTTCTTTAGGCACTGCGATTATAATTGCTAATTTATTCATCTGTGTATCCCTACCAGTGATGTATGTCCTAAGTTCTGAGAGATAGTGTATTAAAAAAGATATTAAGGGGCTGGCCCTGTCTGCGGTGCTGGCACCCCATATGGGCACCAGTTTGAGTCCTGGCTGCTCCACTTCCGATCCAGCTCTCTGCTATAGCCTGGGAAAGCAGTAGGAGATGGTCCAAGTGCTTGGGCCCCTGCACCCACGTGGGAGACACGGAGGAAGCTCCTGGCTCCTGGCTTCAGCCTGGCCCAGTCCTGGCTGGCTCTTTGTTTTTATTATAAGGATAATTCTTAAGAGTATCTGAAATAATCCCCATATAGGTATATGTTTACAGTTGTTTAAGAAGATAATAGAAGGTGGGTGTTTGGCCCAGTAGTTAAGACACTGGACGGCCGGCGCCGCGGCTCACTAGGCTAATCCTCTGCCTTGCGGCGCCGGCACACCGGGTTCTAGTCCCGGTCGGGGCGCCAGATTCTGTCCCGGTGGCCCCTCTTCCAGGCCAGCTCTCTGCTGTGGCCAGGGAGTGCAGTGGAGGATGGCCCGAGTGCTTGGGCCCTGCACCCCATGGGAGACCAGGAGAAGCACCTGGCTCCTGCCATCGGATCAGTGCGGTGCGCCGACCATGGCAGCCATTGGAGGGTGAACCAACGGCAAAGGAAGACCTTTCTCTCTGTCTCTCTCACTGTCCACTCTGCCTGTCAAAAAACAAAACAAAACAAAACAAAACAAAACAAAACAAAACAAAAAAAAAACACACTGGTTGGGAGGCCTGCATCCCATACTGGGGTGTCTGGGTTTGGGTCCTGCCTCCCCTCCTGACTCCAGCTTTCCACTAACGCAGACCCTGGGAGACAACAGTGGTGGCTCAAGCAATTGGTTTCCTGCTGCCTACCCAGGCGGGAGACCTGGATGGTGTTCTTGGCTCCTGGTTCGGCTCTCAGGCCAGCCCCACTGTCAGCCCCAGCTGCTGATGGCCTTTGGAGGAGGGAACCAGTGGACAGGAGCTCTGTCTGTCTCTTTGTGCCTCACAAATAAACAACAAAAATTATTTAAGAGTATCCTAAAACAAAAGAAAGAAAGAAAAAACAACAGTGGAAGATGGCCCAAGTGTTTGGGTCCCTGCCACCCATGTGGGAGATCTGGATGACGCTCCAGCTCCTGGCCTCAGCCTGGCTCAGCCCTGGCCGTTTTGGCCATCTGAGAAGTGAGCCAGCAGGTAGAAGCTTATTCTCTCGTTCTCTGCCTCTCTTTCCCTCTCTGTAACTTTGCCTTTCAGATAAATAAATCTTTTTTTTTTATAAAAGATGAATTTGACTAAGTCTCTATTTGTAGAAATGAAGTTATAAATACCATGTAAAGTAGACATAAAATTTCTCACAAAGAGAGAAACCAAATGCTTCCCAAATCTGAAAAGCAATTATAGTGACAAAACCACAAACATTATTCAGATCATTGTGGCAAATCAATGAGTAGCTACATACATCTGATAATCTGCTGAAAAAGTCACATTTGGCACAGACTCATTGCTCCTGTTCCACTTCAGGGTAAAGTTGTCATCCATGATAGAGACTTCCACATTTTGCGGAGATTCTAGGTTGTTTTCATCTGTAAAGACAGAAGGAAGATTATTACATATTTACTGCAGAAATATTTTCTAAAATTTTACTATTAATGGATACATTTAATTACAACAAAACCTTTTTTAAAGATTTATTTATTTGTGAGGCAGAAAGAGAGAGATCCTCCATCCGCTGGTTCATTCCCCAAATGGCTGTAATGGCTGGAGCGGGGCCAGTCTGAAGCCAGGAGCCAGCAGCTTCTTCAGGGTCTTCCATAAGGGTGCAGGGGCCCAAGGACTTGGGCCACCTTCTACTGCTTTCCCAGGCCATAGCAGAGAGCTGGATCAGAAGTGGAACAGCCAGGACTCGAACCGGTGCCCATATGGGCTTTACCTGCTATGCCATAGCTCCGGTCCCCCCAGCAAAGTGTATTTTTAAAGACCTTAAAAAGCCTAACAATTTCCTCTCAGTCAAGGGAGCCTAATTATATCTCTGCATCTGACAGAACTGATTAAAAGTTAAGTTTTATCATCTACAAAAAAGGCTGTCTTTCAATTGAAAAAAAAAGTCTTTGCATAAAACCAGAATTTAGGGCTGGTGCTGTGGCTCAGCAGGTTAACACCCTGGCCTGAAGTGCTGACATCCCATATGGGTGTTGGTTCCACACCCGGCTGCTCCTCTTCCGATCCAGCTCTCTGCTGTGGCCTGGGAAAGCAGTGGAGGATGGCTTAAGTCCTTGGGCCCCTGCACCCACGTGGGAGACCTGGGGGAGGCTCCTGGCTCCTGCCTTCAGATTGGCACAGCTCTGCAACGGCCAATTGGGGAGTGAACCAGCAGATGGAAGACCTCTCTCTCTCTGCCTCTCCTCTCTCTGTGTAACTCTGACTTTCAAATAAATAAATAAAATCTAAAAAAAAGAACAAAAACAAAAACAAAAACAACAAAAAAACCAACCAGACTTTTCCTTTGGCCTCAGCATGTTACTGACATACAACTGTTCAACATCCCCAGTTTGGTCTCACGGTCTGTCTGGAGAAGAGGTGGTTCCTATGCCCTGACACACAGCTGGCCAGATGTGACTTCAAAGTTGACAGCTGCTCGTAGAACTAACGGGAGCATGAACCTCATGTCAGCCACACCCTTCACGAGCACGGAAAAGGCCTGGACTGCGGGGCAGGTCAAGTTTGAGCTGCTTATGTTTACGAAGTTCCATCTAGGGGTCTGCCTGCAGCGTTACTCCCCCTACACAAATCTCCCAGCAGCTGGGTCGCCTCCCTCCTGGGTTTTCCTCTGTGGCCCTCTGGGCTGCAATGCGCTTCCCTCTGACCACTCAGATCCTCCCAAGAGCCGCTCAAACCTGAGCCCCCGGAGAAAACTGTCCAAGCACCAGACTCATGCTGACTTACTGTTCTCTTACACTTGGCACACTTTAATCTGTATCACTCAATTTCACACTCAGTAGACGCACTAAGTTCTCAAATCCTTTTTAATGTTTGAAAACTTGGCAAATACATCTAATACTTACATTTTAACCATTTTTGAGCATCTGGAGCCCTGTCACTACCTACATACACTCACAGCAATGGTGTAGCCATCACATTACCCATCTCTACAACTCCTTTCACCTTGTAAAAGTGAAACTCTACGTGAGTGGCACTCACACAGTGTTAGTCTTCTTGTGACTGACTGAAGTTGCTTGTCCCACTCGCACTGTTTACCACATTACGGCCAATGCCTCCCTCTCTAAGGCGGAGCAGTACCACAGTATGTATCCGTCCCACTGCTGGTCGATGAACACCAGCTATTGCCACCCAGGGACTTCTATCATTTGCTTCTACATTTCAGCTATTGTGGAAAATGCTGCCATGGATACGGGTGTACAAATATCTCTCTGAGACAGTTTTTGTCCTTTTGGGTACATACGCAAAAGCGGAGTTGCTGGATCACATGGGACCTAAATTTCCTGAGGAATAGCCACGCTGCTTTCTACGGCGTCTATGCCATCCTCTGCTCCCTACACCAGGGCACAAGGATTCCTATTTGTCCACGTCCTTGCCAACACTTGTTATTGTTTTACAGTCGCCATCCAGTGGGTGTGTGGTGGCATCTCACTGTAGCTTTGATTTCTGGTTCTATAATGATTAGTGACCTCAAGCATCTTTTCATGTGTTTCTTGGTCATCCGTGAATCTTCTGTAAAGAAATGTCTATTCAAATTCTTTGTCCGTTTTTGAATCTGGCTGTTTTGTTTCTGCTGGGTTTTAAAAGTTCTCTGTGTATTCTGGAGATGAATTCAAATATTCCCCCCTCTGGTGGAGATAAGGGTTTCCTCTTCTATCTAGTTGTTCCATTCATTTTTGAGAGGGAGTATTGAGTCTCCACCTATCATTGTAGAACCATTTTCCCCATTAATTTTGTCAACTTTTGTTGCATATATTATGAAGGTCTGTCATGAGGTGCATAGATGTTTATGATTGTTATATGTTCTTGGTGAATTGAAGCTTTTGTTAATAATGTAACCTTATAAAATCTAAGTCTGTTTTGTCTGATATTAATATAGCCACCCCTGTTGTTTTTTGGCTACTAGTTGCAGAGTATCTTTTTCAATCTTTTACTTACTTCAGATCCAATCTCTCGTGGACAGAAAATAGTTAGGTCAGGTGTTTTTATCCACTCTGCCATTCTCTGTCTTTTGACTGGCAAGTTTATTTCAATTTAATTATTGATGAGGGCTTTACTTCTGTCAGTTTGTTTTGTTTTCTATATGCTTTACAGCTTTGTCCCTAAGCTCCTGCATTACTGTCTTGTATTTTGTTGACTTTCTTTTGGCAGTGAAATGTTTGAATGTCTTTCCCAATTCTGCTGTGTACATCCTAGTTATTTCCTTTGTGGGATTACATTTAACACCTAAAGTTATGATGCTCCGATCCAGTTACATCAGCGTAATGTCAACAACACTCACAGGCTCTGCTCCTCCACAACCATCCGCTTCTTTCCATTGTTACTGTCACAGTATTTTATCTTTACACATTGTGTGCCTCTAAGCATAATTAAATGCACTAGTCTTTTAAATTACATAGAAAACAGAATGTGGAGTTACAAACTGTTGTCACAGTACCAGTTTTTATACTTCTCCCTGCACTCACGCTTACTGAGATCTTCATTTCGTCCCAGAGCTCCCAGTGGCCTTTCACTTCCAGGACTCCTTGCAGCATCCCTGCAGGGCAGGTGCGGTGCTGTGGAACTTCTTCTTTAATCTGGGAATACTTTCCTTTCTCCCTCATTTTTGAAGAACATGTTGCTAGACACAGGACTCTTGGCTAATTTTTTTTTTAAACACTTTGAATATCTAGGCTTATGACTTCTGGGCTCGAAAGTTTTGAATAAAAAAACCTGTTGATGGCCTCACTGAGGATTCTTTGTATGTAACAAGTTGCTTCTCTCCCTGTTTCTGGGATTCTTTTTACTTCAAAATCAAGTGTGATGAGAATGTGTCTTGGTGTGCGACTCTAAGTGCATGTACTTGGAGCTCCTTGAGCTCGGATGTTTCTATTCATGTGTTTCTTCAAATCGGCAAAGTTTTCAGCCAGTATTTTTCAGGTATTCTCTTGTCCCTCTTTTTCTCTTTCACAGCACGTCGGTCTGTGCAATGGTATCTTTCCTGGTCCTTTAGACTGTCACTTTTCTTCAGTCTTTTTTGTTTCTCAGGCTGGATAATTTTCATTGTCAGAAAAATTCTGAATCCCTCTTGTGAATTTTTCATTTCAGTTGTAACTTTTCAGCTCCAGAATTTTTCTGTTTCCTATCTTTACTGATAATTCATTTTTTGTTTATATACTGTTTTCCTGATTTTTCTCTGCTTTCTTTAGTTCTCTGGGTATCTTTTTTTTTTTTTTTAAAGATTTATTTATTTACTTGGAAGTCAGAGAGTTAGAGAGAGAGGCAGAGGCAGAGATAGAGAGAGGTCTTCCATCTGCTGGTTCATTCCCCAGATGGCCACAACAAGCTGTGCCAATCCTAACCCAAGAGCCAGGAGCTTCCTCTGGGTCTCCCACGCGGGTGCAGGGGCCCAAACACTTGGGCCATCTTCTACTGCTTTCCCAGGCCATAGCAGAGAGCTGGATTGGAAGTGGAACTGTTGGAACTTGAACTGGCACCCATATGGGATGCTGGCACTGCAGGCAGTGGCTTCATTCACTACCCCACAGCACGCGCGCGCGTGCACACACACACATACACACACACTCCCTTTAAATTTTGCTTATTTATGTGAAAAGCAGAATGACAGAGGAGGAGAGACAGAGAAAGCTCTTCCATCCACCGGTTCACTCCCTGGTTGCCTACAAGAGCTGGGGCCGGGCAGGGCCAGGCCACAGCTAGGAGCCAGGGACTCCATCTGGGTCTCCCACGTGGGTGGCAGGAACTTGGCTACGTGAGCCATCGTCTTGCTGTCTCCAAGGTGTGTTAGCCGGAAGCTAGGACAGAGAGCAGAGCAGCCAGGGCTTGGACAAGGCACTCCTATATGGGACGTGGAAGTCCCCAGCGGCAGCTCAACGTCCTGTATCACCACGCTCGCCCCTGCCAGGCGTCTTTAAGACAATTGCTCTGAAGTCTCTCTAGTAGATGAGTCACCAGGTCTTTTTCAGGGTGATTTTTTTTCTTTCAGTGGGCCTTACTTCCTGTTTTCTTTGTGTGCCTTATGATGTTTTGCTGAAAACTGACAATTTGACTCTAACAATGCAGTACTCTAGAAATCAGTTTCTCCCTCTTCCCCAGAGTTTGCTGGATTTTTGTTATTATTATTTAAAAACAAATCACTGTCTCGATGCCAAGTATAAACTTTAAGTCTTTCCTGAGCCGTGCCCTGAGTATGCACAATTACCTTCTAAGGTTCCCCATATAAGCAGCGGCTTTTGGACGTCCTAGTCTGAACCTTCTCTGGCTCCCGAAAACGAAAAAGGAGAAAAATGAAGGGACAGGGCAGAGGGGGCAGAAAGGCTGCCAGCCCTTTTAACCTCCTAGAAGACACCTGGTAGGTGGGGAGAGCTTGAACAGCGGGAGAGGGGGCACCAACGACGGCCACTCATCTCCTTGTGTCCCTGTGGTCACACGCAGCAGCAACTACCAGAGCGCAGAGCCCAGACACTCCGATGGCACTACTCTCTGTCTCATGTCTGAATTCCTTCTTGCGCTAAGAACCTCTATTCCACACCTCTCCACAAAGACGGGCAAAAGAGGGACATTTGAGAAAACGTTTTCTGGGAAAAAAAATAAAATAAAATTAAGGAGGCACTGATTAGGTCTCCCTACCCCTGGTGTTTTGTTTCCCACTCCAATTCATTGAATCTTCATCCCTGAACAGACTACACATCCTTATCCCTCTTTTCTAACGTGACTTCCACCCTGCAGGGATGCTGTTGGTCACAACCTGCACCACCTTAGACACAACCATGAGAGCTAAAGCAGCTGGCATTGCTGTCCTTGGTACACATACAGGAACTACCTGATAAGCAGAGCCATGAAGAGGTCTGTGGAGTGCCGTGTGCAGGAGTGTTTAATACTTGGAATGTGTTCACAGCCCTTCACGCTCCTTGGGGAAAATGAAGCCCACTCTGGCTGGCAGAGAGCCGAGCGTCTGAGTGCGCACATCCGTCCCCTCCCTGCGGCTGCACGGGGCGCCCTCAACCACACTTCCCCACCAGGCTGCACTTCCTCCAGTGTTGGATCTGTCCACTTCTTTCTTCTGTCTTTGGCCACCCCTCACCTTTGGTGGTCAATTGTCTTATTTCTGACTGGATTTTCCTGGAACACATCCTGGTTGTTGGAATTCATAGATTCTATGCAGCCAAAGGGCAGGAGTTGGGCTCAGAGAGATCAATCAAGATCTGATGGCCTGAGGCCAGTGCTGTGGCACAATAGGTTAATCCTCCGCCTGTGGCACTGGCATCCTACATAGGGGCCAGTTCGAGTCTGGGCTGTTCCACTTCCAATTCAGCTCTCTGCTATGGCCTGGGAAAGCAGCAAAAGATGGCCCAAGTTCTTTTAAAAATCTTTTTAAAAGATTTATTTATTTATTTGAAAGGCAGAGTTAGAGAGAGGCAGAAAGAGACAGAAAGAAGTCGTCTATCCGCTGGTTCACTCCCCAGATGGCCACAAAGGCCGGAGCTGCTCCGATCTGAACCCAGGAGCTTTTTCCTGGTCTCCCACGTGAGTGCAGGGACCCAAGGACTTGGGCCATCTTTTACTGCTTTCCCAGGCCATAGCAGAGAGCTGGATGGGAAGTGGAGCTGCTGGGACTCGAACCAGTGCCCATACCCACTAAGCCACAGCGCCAGCCCCAATAAATAAATCTTTAAAACACACACACACACACACCCAATCTGGCTGTGAGTTTGTGCACTGCCTCCTCTTGTCCTTCTCCCCTTTCCTTACTCACATGGGACCCAGCAGATGCTTAAAGTGTCTGTGGGGGGAAGAGTTTATGGCCAACTCCAAGGGGAGACTCCCAGCATGTAGTGAAGTTCTGGGTCAGCTGAGCACTGGCAGCACGTGGCCACGGCCCACCTGCACAACTGATGGACTGAACAGGGCCCTGGTAGTGACAGGGCCTCCGGCAGTGGGACACTTGGGTGACTGAGCTGCCCAACAGTGACCACTGTGACAAGTGCGACTAAGAGGGCTCAGGTACTGGTACAAGACCTGCCGATGTGCTCGATAATTAGGTCTTGGAGGGTCCTCACACATGATCTGCCCAAGAGCAGGAATGACTGCAAGAGATTCTACCAAAACACGACCTTCTACCAGGACCTAGAACTACAGCCTTGCCCAAAGGCCACCTCTGTGAGACCTGCCCGCAACCGTGTGTTCAGCCCGGGACTGCTGCTACCCAATCATCGAATCCATGTATTCTTTCACAACAACTTATGTAACCCTCTTCATTTTGTCTTTAAAAATCTCTCACCGGGGCCAGTGCTTGGTGCAGTAGGCTAAGCTTCTGTCTGCAGTGCCGGACTCCCATGTGGGCGACGGTTCACATTCCGGCTGCTCCACTTCCGATCTAGCTCTCTGCTGTGGCCTGGGAAAGCAGGAGAGGATGGCCCAAGTGCTTGAGCACTTTACCCATGTGGGAGACCTGGAAGAAGCTCCTGGCTCCTGGCTTGGATCGGCCCAGCTCCAGCCATTGCAGCCATCTGGGGAGTGAACCAGCAGATGGAAGACCTCTCTCTCTGTCTCTCTCTCTCACTGTCTGTAACTCTACCTCTCAAATAAATAAATAAAAATCTTTGATAAAAAATCTGATGGCCTGTGAAACAGTTATAAGCATACTGTCCAGAATGTTCCAATTCTAGTAATTCTGTGCAAGATAAAGGAAATCTGATGAGGCAGAGCCCGGAATTTCCAAAGGGATGCAACCCTTCTATTGCTAAAGAATGGAGACCTGGGAGTGAGAGACATCTGGTAATTGGGAAATCAGCAAATAATTGATAGCCAGGCACTTGGAAATAGTTGTTAAACTCTACTTAGTTTCCACAGATTTTTTTTTAAAGATTTATTTATTTTTATTTGAAAGTCAGAGTTACACAGAGAGAGGAGAGGCAGAGAGAGAGGGAGAGAGAGAGAGAGACAGAGGTCTTCCATCTGATGGTTCACTCCCCAAATGGCTGCAACAGTTGAGCTGCACCAATTCGAAGCCAGGAGCCAGGAGCTTCTTCCAGATCTCCCACGAGGGTGCAGGAACCCAAGGACTTGGGCCATAATCTTCTACTGCTTTCCCAGGCCATAGCAGAGAGCTGGATCGAAAGTGGAGCAGCCGGGACTAGAACCAGTGCCCACATGGGATGCTGGCGCTTCAGGCCAGGGCGTTAACCCAGTGCGCCACAGCACTGGCCCCAGTTTCCACAGATTTTACTACATTACTATTAGCAATATCCTTCTAATATTTGATTTCAACTCTTCAGCACATAAAAATGTACTAATGGGCATTTAATTCAACACAAACTCTTCTGGCTGCTTCCAGCCTTCCAGAATGACCTTGACTGAACACAGAGTTTACTAGCTTTTTACATCTGATGTAAATCCAAACATACATATCCATAGCAACATGAATCAAAATCTCCTCCCCTGATTGACAGTTTTCTTAGTCTAGGGTCCAAAAGTGCATTTCCCAGGTTAACAAATATGACTATGTCGTGACTTTCAACAGGTGGGGCAACGTTACAACCTGAACTTTGAATTCGTGCTTTGTTTAGATATGATTATTACTTTTTTGGGGAAAAATAATAAATTAAAAGAGATAAAAGATAGCGAGGCCCTTAACACACAAGTGGAAAATGAAGAACTCAGATTCTTAGGAAAAGTTTAGTCTGGGTGAGCCCCAAGGCTCGGAGGCCGGATTCTCAGGGTTTGATTTAGACTGGCTGTACGGCTGCTGGCACATCAGTCTCTAAGGGCGCTGGTCCACACCCGGAGGATGGCAGTGTCTACAGCGGCGTGGCAGCTCCGTGCACGAACGCCCTTACAATGCGTGGGTTAACGCCCGGCGTGAGCCCAATAAATGCTCACTGCCTACAAGTTACACTGCCCGAGTTCTCTAGACGAGTCCCAAATTAGCTTCTCACGGCACACACATGAAAACCCTGGGCAGCTGTTACGGCAAATGTTCCGTGCACGGAAGACCTCAAAGCTGTGACCGCGCGAGCCCTCAGACTCACGCAGGGCCGCGGCCTGGACCCAGCCCACAGGGATTCACGCAGGGCCGCGCACGGACCCAGCCCACAGGGATTCACGCAGGGCCGCGCACGGACCCAGCCCACAGGGATTCACGCAGGGCCGCGCACGGACCCAGCCCACAGGGATTCACGCAGGGCCGCGCACGGACCCAGCCCACAGGGATTCACGCAGGGCCGCGCACGGACCCAGCCCACAGGGATTCACGCAGGGCCGCGCACGGACCGCGCCCACAGGGATTCACGCAGGGCCGCGCACGGACCCAGCCCACAGGGATTCACGCAGGGCCGCGCACGGACCCAGCCCACAGACTCACGCAGGGCCGCGCACGGACCGAGCCCACAGGGATTCACGCAGGGCCGCGCACGGACCCAGCCCACAGGGATTCACGCAGGGCCGCGCACGGACCCAGCCCACAGGGATTCACGCAGGGCCGCGCACGGACCGAGCCCACAGGGATTCACGCAGGGCCGCGGCGTGGACCCAGCCCACAGGGATTCACGCAGGGCCGCGCACGGACCCAGCCCACAGGGATTCACGCAGGGCCGCGCACGGACCGAGCCCACAGACTCACGCAGGGCCGCGCACGGACCCAGCCCACAGGGATTCACGCAGGGCCGCGCACGGACCCAGCCCACAGGGATTCACGCAGGGCCGCGCACGGACCGAGCCCACAGACTCACGCAGGGCCGCGCACGGACCCAGCCCACAGGGATTCACGCCGGGCCGCGCACGGACCCAGCCCACAGATTCACGCAGGGCCACGGCGCGGACCCGCACAGCTCCCTCTGCCGTCACCGCGGAGCCCCCGGACCACACCGAAACCCCCTCGCTTCTCACCAGCGGCTGCGGGCGACACCCACCAGGCCCCGGCGGCCAGCACCAGGGTCGTCGCGCCCAGGAGGGCGAGCATCGTCCGCCAGCCGCCGCCGCCCCAGTCACATCCTCAGTCACTTCCAGCAGCGCCGCGGACGGGGCGGGCGGAGAGGTCCCGTAGGAAACCCGGGCGCGCGCTCCCGCTTCAGCGACCCGGGGACCGCTCCTCCGAGCGCATCGGCCCGGCAGGGAGCGCGCCCCGCCCCTCCGCGCAGGCCCCGCCCCTCCCGCCAAAGCACCGCCACACGCGCAGGCCGCGTCTCTCCCCAGCGACCGCCCCGCCCCTCCGCGCAGGCCCCGCCCCTCCCGCCAAAGCACGGCCGCGCGCGCAGGCCGTGTCTCTCCCCAGCGACCGCCCCGCCCCTCCGCGCAGGCCCCGCCCCTCCCGCCAAAGCACCGCCACACGCGCAGGCCGCGTCTCTCCCCAGCGACCGCCCCGCCCCTCCGCGCAGGCCCCGCCCCTCCCGCCAAAGCACCGCCGCGCGCGCAGGCCGTGTCTCTCCCCAGCGACCGCCCCGCCCCTCCGCGCAGGCCCCGCACCTCCCGCCAAAGCACCGCCGCGCGCGCAGGCCGCGTCTCTCCCCAGCGACCGCCCCGCCCCTTCGCGCAGGCCCCGCCCTCTTCTGCGAGGCCGCGGCTTCTCCCCCCCGCCCCCCTCTCCCGGCCCGGCGCTCGCGCGCGCGCGTTGCAAAGCGGCGGGCGGCGCGGTTACCCGTCAGCCCTGTTACTCCGGTTCCAGGAAATCCACGCCCCCAGGAGGCCTTGACCCTAACGGGAACTCCGCGCCTTGCTAGTGCGCCTGCGTGGACTTGGCGGCCGCCCACGGCTTCCCGCTGTGGGCGCCCCGAGGGCAGGGGCGGGGAGCCGGGCCGTGTGCTCGTGGGCCGTGCTCGCTGTCCGCGGCCAGGCTCGCACAGTCGGCTGGGGTTGCAAATCCCGGGCGATCAAAGGAGCCAGGGGTGAGGGGTCGCTGGTCGTCGCCCGGCGGCCGGGCTCTGGGCCGACGCGGACCCGTCGGGGCCTGGGGGAGAACGGCGGCGGGCTGGCCCCGGGCCGCGGTCTCTCCAAGGTGCGCTTGACCGCCAGCCGCTGTCCGGAAACAAATAAGAGCCCTGACCCCGGCGGTTAACTTCCGGAAGTGCCTTAGCCGCGGGCCGTGCACATCATGCCCAGGGCCCCGTCCCAGAGCTGCGCCCTCGGCCTGCTGGTCGCCCCCTCGCGTGTGACACAGGCCGGGGGGCCTCCTGAGCCCGCCCTGGCTTCTGCCTGGCGAACTGAGCATTGAAGAAGGCGCTTTTTTGCGGGAAGACCCTCCACGCCCACCCCCTCAGTGAGGGCCAGAGCAGCTTCCGGACAGCGGGGGACCTTCCGCGACACCCTGCCGCCCGCAGGACACGGGAAAGCCTTTTACAGTACGGGCAGAGCTGAAGCCAAGAGCCGGGAACTCAACCCAGGTTTCCCGCATGGATGGCAAGGACCCACGTACTGGAGGCGTTAGCGCTGCCTCCCACGGTGTGCATTAGCAACCAGCCGCGTGTAGAGCTGGGACTCGAACCCAGGCACTCAGATAGCCCGTGTCTCAGCTACTAGGTCAAACACTCCTAGAAGTTATTTTTTATTTCTAATCAATAGGTATGGGGTACAGGATGATAATGTGTTTAACGTAGACACAATGTGAACTGATGGAATCAGGGTAATTAGCGTGTCCATTGCTCCAAACATGTATCATTCAGAGTCCTCTCCCAGCTATTTTGAAATACACAATAAATTACTGTTATCTGTCCTTGCCCTGCTGTGCTGGGTTGTGTTTCAGTAGAGTTTACTGCAAGTGTGACACCCTGTAGCAAACAGTTTATGTGCATCGCTTCACATTTTGTTTTTGAAATTATTTCAAATTTACAGAAAAGTATCAAAGATCTATGCATATTGTTAATATTTTGCCTCATTTCGCTCTAAATATCTATACAAACTCATTATCTACTAAGTGTTTAATCAGAGGCAGAGAGACAGGGAGAGAGACGGTGAGAGAGAGAGAGCTTCCACTCGCTGGTTCAGTCTCCAAACACCCGCAATTAGCTGGTGCTGGGCCAGGTGGAAGCCAGGAGCCGGAAACTCAATCCAGGTCTCCCACGGGGGCGGCAGGGACCCAAGGACTCGAGCCAGCATCACCTGCTGCCTCCCCCGGGGTGCACAGCAGCAGGAAGCTGGAACCGAGGCCGAGCAGGAACTCAAACCCGGGCACTCCAGTGGGGGATGTGGGCGTCTTCAGCGCTGGTACCAAAGGCCCACCTCATGTCAGTAAGTTATTCTCCAGAATTTGTTCAGCTTTTTAATCTGGGGCAGTCTGTCGCTCCCCCTCTTCGTGGAGGAGCAACACAGGACCCTGCGCTGTTCTTTCGTCTGCTCGGCCCTCCCCGGGTTTGCTGCTGGTTCTTCCCGGGTTGGCTACTGTCCCTTCCACCTCCGTGGAAGGGCGGTTCCCCCTGCCACATTCCCCACTTCCGCGGGGGAGCTGCACACCGCCGGCCGGCTCTCTCGGGGGCTGCACAGGTGTTCCCCTTAGATGTTCCTGGTACATGTTGTCTCTCTCCTCCTTTATAGTCTTCTTCCACCAATCCCAACTCGGCTGCCCACACGCCGAGTACGCTGCTCTCCTCCAATCAGGAGCAGGATCAGCTCCTGGAGGTCATCACTCAAGTTGGCAAGAGGCAGCTGCGTAGAAGATGTTTTCTCCTCTCCCAGCGCCATATTGTGGGAGAGCAGATGCATAGAATAAGTCTTAATTCTAGTAACTTAGTCTAGTCCGAGTTGCTCCCCACAGCAGTCCCCTGGCCTTTGTCTTTTATGTCACATAGCATTTTTGTTGTTGTTGGAGAAGACAGGCCAACCGTTTGATGGAATGCTAACCAGTTTGGGCTCATCTGATGGTTCCTCCTGATTAAATTCAGAGTGTGCATCCCAGGCTGGACCATTGCATACATTGTGTGCAGTGCAAGGATAGCTCACCCACCCGGAAGTGCCTGTTTTTTGGGATGGTCATTTTTTTTTTTTTTTTTTGGACAGGCAGAGTTAGACAGAGAGAGAGAGAGAGAGACAGAGAGAAAGGTCTTCCTTCCATTGGTTCACCACCCAAATGGCAGCACGCCAGCCCGAAGCCAGGAGCCAGGTGCTTCCTCCTGGTCTCCCATGAGG